ATCCACTAGTTCGTTGTCAACTGACGGAATATAGTGATGCTGGGGGGTAGTGGGTACATAACTGATCAAAGCAATAAGGGGGGGCATATTGACCGAAACAACACTGTTCTAAATAAACTTTCTTTATGTGCATTTGGTGTTTTTTAGGGATCCCTTAAAATATCAAGAGAGGCTTGAATCTTTGTTGGACTCTTTTTAGCTACTACAATACTGAAGCTCTACTGCAGGTCCCACTTTCAGTAGCTACATGTGATCAGAAAAGGCCTTATAATATATTATAAAAATATACAAGGAAATATATCATCCTAGACTTGCACACACTGTTCTATACATTATCAGTAAAAAGTTGGGAATCATTGTGCAGTTCTTGTTTCCATTACAATTTTCTTGAGAATTTATGTGATTTACAGAAAAGTAAAACTCTTGGCAAAGTGGTGACCATATTATCATGTAATATTATTTTACATTAGTTTACAAGCCAAATGGCTTATATTAAAGTTGGTGCCTCTGTTGGAAATCCTTCTCACTTCCTGAGCATATGCAGTTGGGCAAAACTTACCTGCATTTTTCATGTACAGGACATACATATTACACTAACTTGCAGAATATTTCATTCTGATAACTTCACTGTTTTTTCTTTTACTTCTTAGCTAAACATTCCTGCCATATCTCAATTAAAATTATATAGAATTGGACCACATAAACTTATTCCAGAAACAAACCATCTTGTGGTAAACAAAGGATTTTAAAATGCTATTCATTCTTCAGGAAGCAGAAAAGAAATAGTTAAACATGGGCAGTGAGCTGGGAAATCATCAGTTCAAAATTTACCTCATCCATTAATTTGAGTCTTCGGAAATTACTACCTGTGAACTGCAACTATATAGCTGAATAGATATAACAATGCTGAACTCACCTGAGAAGTCTGTTGCAAATACTGAGATAATGTATGTAAAGTGCTTTGAACATTCAGAAACTGTTATTTAAAAACTAGTATTAATACTATTATTAGTTCTATTTACCATTCATGACTATCTGTCCCAGCTCCATCTTCAAGTTTCCATCATTGTAAACTGATAAAACGGAAGCCAGATTATCAAATACAGGAGGGCTTATTGCCTTTGGTAAATAACTAGACTGAGTGCTTTTCATTGTGATAAAGTACTGTTTTTAAAACTGTTGCTTAAAATATTTTGTAATTTTAAAACTTTCTAAATCAAGCAAAAATGGAAACATACATATTGACATAACAGAATATAATTGATATAACAAATGTGCAGGCAACAAAACCTTTCTGAAACCTAGGGATACGCATTAAATCAAAGGAAAAAATGCAATTATATCACATACTGAGACATGTAAAATTACGTCATTGTCAAGGCAGCAAAATTAAAGCATAAGAGCATGCTTTGTACTTCTGTAAAGCTAGAAATGGAATCACCACCACTAGCTCCCAACACATGAGAAAATGAAACCAAGCACTATCAGGCCAGCCAATAATATTGCAGAAAGCCTCCCCAAATCACACAACTTGCAGAAAGCTCTGGTGGTATATATGTGTCATGAGACACCTGTGAATGCTTAACTATTTCAACACGGAAGGCCACTTGAAAAGCAATGGAATGATTACATTTCTGTTACAGGCACTCTTACATTTATACTGGATAGTAACCCTTGCGCTGAGCTCTTTAGCACTTTGTAAACCATGTTGATCAGAGGTCCATTATTTTTTATCTGTTTCAGACAAAAATTACATATACATATCTTGTTACAGAGGAAAAGGTGGCATCAGAAGACTATGAAAACAGAGAAATCAGAATACGGTATGATTTTTATTAGCATCTTTTTTCTTTGCTACAGTTTCATGATGCATATCGTAAACTGGAGTGGCAAGAAGAAAGGGTAGGGAAGGACAAAAGGCTTATCCTATGCTGTTCATGAATGTTATGCTACAACCCTAAACTCATGTGGTGAACACACGTAAAAGACCTCTGACAAAGATACTGTACCAGAGTAAGTAGAAAGATCTACAGGTAGTCCCTGGGTTAAGAATGCCTGGGTTACAGATGACCCATAGTTAAGAATGGAGTCTACTATAGCAAAATTTGAGTTAAATACACAATGATTTGAGTTAAATACACAATGGTTCGAGTTCATTACAATACTACTTATACAGTATTATACAATAATACTGTTCTAGCTTACGTACAAATTCGACTTAAGGACAGACCTTGAGAACAGAACTTGTTCTTAAACAGGGTAGTACTTGTACTGAATTCTGAAACAGTTTTAAACCTGCTGAAATTTTACAAACCGTACTTCCTGTTTTTGGCTTTGACAATACTAGGATGATACAAGTTAAACTATACAATATAACTGTAAATGGAGCACCGGATACTGGATTATTCACACAAAAACAAATAGAGTTTAGGCAATCATACTCAATGTTCCCTATGTATATCCAAGGTAAACTGAAACAATGCAGAATAAGATAGAAATCTAAACTAAAGCATTCCAATCCAATGGATACACAGATTCTTGAAAGAAGTACCTGAATTTCTGCTCCACCCTTGGTGTGGTATGGGGATCTGCAAGCTACTTGACATCTAACTGAATCTTTTAGGATACCAGAAAGAAGACTCTGAAGTCTATTTTTCATTTTTATCTAACCCCTGAAAAGGATGAGCAGATTCACTCATCCTACATTATTATTCTGATACTTCTCTATCCCCTAGATTCTCAGTCCACTACAACTTTGGAATCTGAGAGCAAATTTTGAAGTTGGGTCCTAAAGTCATACAGAAAGCAAAGACAGTAAAATTTAAATCCAAATACCATTCCTGTATAAAAATATGTATTTTAGAAAAACAGTCATGTATTCAATTAAACCCATTTTAATAAAACCTGGGCTGCCAGGAGAAGGTGCTTCTTTTTACTCTGTAATTTAGTTTGCTTTTTCCTGGATGAAAACCAAGCAGAGTCATAAGCTTGCATAATTTCTGAAATATTTATCAGGATAATGAAGTCTTGTAGCTTTAATGCAGCACCTAGCCAACTCTCGTTCCTGCTGAAAAGCTAGAAAGGATCAGACCTGGTTGCCAAGAAAAATACACGGATGTTTCTATGAAACAACTGGAAGTTAACTTCTAGGAGATACTTCCTGTTTTCTTTTTGGTGAAATGGTATCTTAAAATCTGGAACAAAAATCTTGAGAGTTGGATTCCATTAAAAAAAAAAACCACATAATGTGGAGACCTTATTTTATCTAATATCATGACAGATTAAGATGTTATTTGATCTGTATGCAGAGGGACAGAAGTTCCTTTAAGATACCAGATTCACCGCCCTGAGAGCCCGATTAAATTTGTCCCTGAATACTGATACCCAAATTGCATCACATTTTTCATTTAAAAAATGTGCCATGTTATTTCCTCTTGGGCAAAAATTATCTTTTAACAGTAACCTATGTCTTGGCAACCTCCAGGATTATTTACTACAACGTGCTCAGTCTTGTTTTTATCTGAAACACATTCAAAAACTTCAAATGCTATAGGATATAGTAACAGATTGTTAATGGAAATTCTTTTTACTAAATATACCATTCTAATGTTTAAAGATCTTTATTGCCTTTCTGAATATTTCTGGGTACAATAAAAAATTCAAAATGTCCTAAACCAAGAAGCACTTTCTTTTTAATTTATGAAACAGCTCATTATGCTGAGATTCTGTGACAGATACTTTTGACTTAGTTTCTTATTATCTTTGCTAATACGTAGTTATCAACTGCTTTACTCATTTTGTACATTCCTTACTGTAGTTAAGGTTTGTGTGATGTTTAGTTATCCTCGCCCTCGCCCTCGCCTCATAAATCATACTGCTGAATTTCAGCAGCAAAACACAAAAATGTAGTAGCACTTGGCAAATAGGTGCATCAAAGCTCTGCACATCTTGGTTTCCTTTAAATTAATACCAGAATCCCCAAAAGAATAAATGGGCCAAGCAACTGACTGCTTTGCTACACCTTCCTCACCATGGCTCCTAGAAAAGGGAGGAAAAAATAGAATTCTCCCCAAAAAAGGAAGTTGCTAATTCCTCAACTAAATGAAAACCAGCAGGTGTTCTTTTCTATGCTTTGCTTAACATTATATATGCTCCACTTATTTTTTCCTCTGCTAATAAACAGATCCTGAAGTCAGGGCTTTGTTTTTGGCTTCCAATTATTGGCTTGCTTGGGAAAAGCAAAGCAAGGGTTCTGGTTTGCAGGTAAAGCTGAATAAACCACAGACGGGGCTCCCAATATCTTGTGACATCACCACTAAAATGCTTATATAATTATATAATTTTATAAATGATTATATAATTGCATCCTAATGCCAACACGTATCTAAGTTGCAGCAGTTGTGTGATGATGATGTTATCACACTTTTTCTAATTTGTTCTCCTGCCCTAGAAATATTCATGGGGGCGTCCTATTTTGTTTAGACATTCTACTGCTAGAAGGAATCAAGCAATTTGGTAGGCATGTTTAGGCACTACCTTCACATGTTCAATCTAACACAGAGTAGCAGAGAGCAGCTGCTCCTTTAACTTAACTGGTAAGTTAAGAAAGATGACTCTATAGTTATAGCACAATTGTCTGAAGTGGGGGATCCACACTAGACTGTATGCTAACACTAAATTTTAATTATAATTACATTTTTGCCCTCCTTAGGAAACTACAAATTTAATTTGTAAATTAAATTACACTAGATTGGATTTAGACAACTGCAAGTGGAATGCTTTCTCACTTTCTTTTGTAGTATTCTTTTTGTTTTTCTATCTAAAAAGCTGGTTTGAAAGGTGGAGGAACAGCTGAAGCGGAGAGTGACAAAAAAGCAGAAATTCATCCTCCTGGTAATTAGGGGAAGAACCTTCAAATTTTTGTATGGAACTTCCTGGATCTCACTGAAAGAAACAGACTAAATTTTGTTTTCATTTTACAATGTATATTTTATTTATAATTTATTCTAGCTATATACAAAAGAAACCTAATTAACACGTAGTTTATAAGTTGGCAGTATAACATATACACTAGGGAAGTATATATGGAAAAAATTAAAAAAGTAACATTATCAGAATGACATTTTATGTGGATATGTTTTACCTTCAGATCCAAATATTCAAGGTCCTTCTTTAGCTGGATGTAGGTATCGTCAGCCTGCAAACAGAAGTACATAACAATAGTAAAATATAATGTACTGCATAATTAGACTCTGTAACTGTTTATCAAATACCTCTAGAAGTTTCTGCAAAAATATACAGTACATATTTGACAGAGAGATCTGGAGTGCAAAAATACTGATGACCACTATAGGGCAGCAAAGACTTTGAGCTTTCTGTCTTTCTTTGCTGCTGTCTATAATCATCTGAGGTTTTGCAGCTCAGATCTGATAGACCTAGTATAAACGAAAACTATCCAACAAGGAAGAATAGTTTGTTCTTAGCTTTTCCAAACTGATAGGTATAGCTGAATGAGAAGCGAACAAGTGAATCAATGGAAGCAAACACTCAAAATATAAAGACTTGTTAGCTACAGAATTGGTTAACATGCAGTGCTACATAGATCTGTACATCTGAAATTATTTTAAAAACAAAGTCACTTTTAGGAGGTAGGTTTAATACCACACTACTTAAATTCATCATGTGATACCACAGTCATCATTTTTAGCCACATTCATGATTTAAAGCATGTACTTTCCTTCAGGGTAACTTTATAATATGAAACCAAAAGAACCGAATGGTTGTCTGAGCATATGAAAAATGGACAGTCTGGTGACTACTGCTATTGCTCATTAGCATCCTGTCATGGAGCCAAATAGACATTCGGTTCTGGTCAGATGATAAGCAGAAACTGAGAGAATGAGTTAACTTGGTTTCTGATAGGAAGGTTTTTCCCATAGGAGACTGAAAAGGTAAAAGGGGAAAGAATGTCTGTCATAGTGCCAAAATAGCACCAAGCCTGCTCCAAGAAAATATCCAAATTATATTCTGCATAGTTCCCAAAAGAAAGTAGGAATGGTACCCATATAAGTAATTAGCTAGGAAGCAGAATCTTCTTGGACATTTGCAGTGGGAAAAATTTAGTGAGGCTACACCTAGTCAAAAGCATACCTAGAATAGGTTTAAAGGCCATCATTAGTTTCAAATCCCAGGGCAGAGACTGAAAATCACTGTTGCTATTGTGAAAAAGTTGTTATATGAAGTAATTATTGGCGCTGACCTGCCAATATGTAGACAACAGGTAGCTAAAGGGCCTACACTGCAACACAAACAGGAAGAAAAAGGAGCAACAGCCATGGCTAGAACACGAACAAAAATATTCCAAAAGCAGGAGAAAGTGAGGGGTAAAGAAGCATTCTCTGAAATCTTCCCAAGTTCTCATTAGTTTAGGAAAGCATGGCTAAACTGAGCATCATCTGGAGTTTTCTGAACAGCATCACCTGAGATTCATAGATGGCGCAAACTATCCAACAGATGCAGTATCAAAACATCAAGTAGATTGTTCCTGGGAATTACAGAGTACTGTGGGCAGTTTATGCCTTTTTCCACCAAAGCAAAAGTCCTTTACAGATTTAACTAAGAAGAGTGACCCTAATAAAACTCACTGGATACCTGAATATAAAAAAGCTATCCCAAGAGATGGCAACAGGAAAATAGGAACTAGCTATACACAGGTTTGAAATGGGTGAGGCAGAGGAGAGGCTTTTATAGCAAAATGGGAGGTGAATATCAGAAACCTCCAAGAAACAGACCCTTCTTCAGCAAGTTGTGAATGGGCAGTGGCCAACAATGAAAATGAATGAGTAGTGGATGAATGGGTAGAACATCCTGTTTTTGTGAAAAAGAGGGGATCCCCTCTGAAAAAAAAAAGTGTAACGAGTTGTAGTTCCACAGAGTTTCAGACCAAACATTCTAAAACTTGCCCATGAAAACCCCTTTTGCAGGTCACATGGAGCAAGTGAAAACACTAATCAGGCCAGGAATCACTAAAAATGTAGAAACTCATTGTCTATCTGCCCAGAATATTAGGTGAAATCCAAGATTCCCATGAAAGAAATCCTTCTGTTTCCTGTTCCATTCTCCAGAACTGCCACAGGCATAGCTGGTCCCATGCCAAAGTCAGCTGAAGACAACAGTATATCCTGGTAATTTGTGATTATGCAATAAGGGACTCTGAGGCGATATTCTTGCTCACAGTCCTTAACATCCTTGGATGGACTGGGAGGTTAAATCAGATGCTGAAAAACAAGTTAAAGTATGCAAAAGCTGATGTCTGGCTTCTCTGTATATTCTTTATATATACAAAAGTGCTCCAGGCTTCCTTAGGATTCAGCACTTTTGAGCTGCTGTGTGGGAGAAACTTGATGTGGTGAAGGAAAGCAGGACCAATTTGAGATCCAAAGAATTTATTTGACTGCATTTTCACACAAAGAAAAAAGTATCAAACTTCCCAGAGTCACTTCCAACGAGATGGGCAGCGACAAATTTGATAAATAAATAAATAAATAAAACTGAAGTTGACACAGGACATACAAAAATGCTGGTTTAATATTAAGACCAGAAAGAAATTTCTTGAAATAAGAAGAAGGAAAAGGGGGCTCCTGAGTTGGCCAAGGAAAGTGGAGTCTTGAAAAACAGAAATAATGCTGATGGAGGAGGTGTAATGGCTGATAACTTACAATGGATCTAGACAGTGTTGGCTGTTGCAAACTTCTTGTTGGTTGTAGTACTGAGCAATGTTGGCTGGTGAACTAGAATAGGCTGGTTGCAGGTTTGAGGAGAGCCTGAGGCATGTCTCTTGAAATGGGAGTGGGAGTGGGAGGATCCAAAGACCTTCTAAAGACTGAGAGACCAGTGTGGGACAGAAACTACCCAGCTCAGAGGACTCTTGGGGGCAGCCAGAAGATGCAGACAGGAGATAGGCCAAATTCTACCAGTCAGAGCTGAGCCAATGCAGCCTAACAGGAGAGAATGCCAACTGGTATAATTAGTCTCTTATTTCTCTCCTCTGAGGAAATCTTTGTATTGGAAACTAAATTCTCCTATGTTCAGCTTTTACTTATTGTCTGTCTGGGTTTCTGTGTAGCTATGGGAGGGTAAGGAGCTATGGGTAAAAGCAGGTCATCACAATTTCTCTAAACCATTATACTTGATTGATGATTGTATCATTATATGACCAAATACATCATGCTGCTTTTTTATTCTTAGCATCAAATTGCAGGTCAGTTGAATCCGCATATGTAATTCATAAAGGAATGCTGCAAACTCATGATACCATGATATGCTGAAACCTAGGATATGAGCCATACTTATGAATACCAACCCCTACATTCCTGGTATCTTTCTCTGCTCTTTCCTCTACTAGCATTTTTGTTTCGTTTTAGTATGACCTTTTATGTATATGACTGAATCTGCTATCTTGATCTAAAATAAGCTAAATTCTTAGGCTGATTAAATTTGCTTGAAGCACAATTTCTTAACTTCAAAACATACTGTGTGGATTGTCACAAATTTAATTACGTGAGGCCTGTTGCAATCAAGATCATGACATTTTATTCTAAGTCACAACTGTATCATGACTACGTTCTACATCTTTTTTATCTGCACTCAATTGTGATTGACTCATCTGCTTATTTTATTATTTATTTTTATCTTAGACACACATATTTATATTAGAAAACAACACCTGATAGACAAAGTTCTATCATTTCAACTATTATTAGAAAACTAGGGAAGTACAGTTCTTAAGATATGATTCCAAAAAAGGGCTCCAAAGCATGTAGAATGGCAAATATAGCACTTTTCGATGCAGCTGCACAATCCTGGGAACAGACACAACTGTTTTAATGAGTTGCTGACAACTGTAACATCTGCATTCCTGTACAGTTCAAAGCATCTCTTTAGAATTGAATCTGAAGCATTGCACAGCTCTAAAAGTAATTATAAAAGATGGCTACCATTTTCTGTATAATTTTAGTCCAAACTTCAAACTGACATTCCTTGCTTAACATAAATAGCAACTATGTGAAACACCGGTGAAAACTTCTCTGTGTTTAATTGTAATTGGTCTGTGAACTAATGTATGCATGAAGAAATGACATAATTCTGAAATATATACCATATTTACCCAACAGGAAGAGGAAAGGTTTTTTCCAAATAGATATCTGTAAATTGGGTCATTTTACATTTCCTGATTCAGTTTCAACAACTTCAGTTTTTAAATTGTTGAAATCAAAGGAATGAAAAAGAGGCAAAAATCAGCAACCCCCAGGTACCTTTAAAGATTAGTCTGAAAATTTCCTTGCTGAATTCAAACCTTTTGTAAAGGTTATCCTTTTGTAAAGGATAAATAATGGGCTTCTCTTTTTCCCTTCATTATCCAGTTACCTCTTCACTTGCCTTACCTCTGTTAGTTTTGTTCCACCATTTTCCCTCCCCTCCCCTCTCCTGTACAGTTAACTCTTTTCTTCAGTTCTATTGCCATCCTAATTTTCTCTTTCATCTGCAAGGATAACACATGTATGCAAGAAAGAATGGTCGCTATATGCAGGTGTGGACCACTTAATTTTGCAAATATAATTTACAAAGGTAAATGTAAATTTTACGGTTTACAAATGCATATTTTACAAATATAGATGTAATTATTAATTCAATTAATATGCATGTTATTTTATTCAGTTATAATATCTATATACTGTAATGCTCCTAGGACAACTGGACTATGGCAGTTCACCACAATCCAATAAATCATATTTTTAAAAAATATGCCATATTACAAATACTATATATTGTCCCTGCCCTTTTTTTTGGAATGGGATTCTGGCAGAATAGTTGTGGGTGAGATAGATAATAGTACAAGAAAGAGAATCTGTGTGAGAGAGAATGGTTGATAACAGCAGGATAAGGATCAATTAATTTTGTAAATTTGGTGCCTTATCTTACCGACAATTATTTCTAATTAGAAGTTATGAGTTCAGTTAATATCGTTTTTTTGGAGCGTGGCTTCTGGCAGATACACGCATACATTCATGTATAGAAATGTGTCATATACACCCACCCATACACTGGGTAATGGCAATGGGAAATCTTTAAGATTAGCCTCAGCTAGAACTGGACACCCCAAATTGACCCAGTGAGGAAGCCAGATACTGTGCAGGATTTTGCCTGGGTGCATCATATGCATTTGTTCTGCCTACTCTTACTTTTGGTGGGATTGTCTACAAGTCAGTGTCATCATCCTTTCAGGTAAATACAATATATAACTCTGCTGGTATACATAGACCTTGTATCGTTATTAAAATATCTGACTGAAGGAGAGAAAAAAGCAAGATGTAATCAATGATGGTTTCCACTGTAAATGATCAGAATGGCTTACTTTTTTCAGTCAAAATTGATAAACTGCAAAATAATAACTTACTTTTTAAATAGGTTTCTTTTAGAACATAATGCAGCATTCACAAAAATAACATCAAAGCAAAATAATAGCCAAAATGCAATTACTCATATGCAACAGCGCCTGTAGTTTAAAAATGCTGATACTTATTTGCACGCAGGAGCAAAGTAAAATTATGAATGATCCAGGGACTTGAACATACTGAAGAATGGGCAAGAAAGCACAGACTCAAGCATGGCACCAGAGAAGCACTTGCAGAGTCACAGAACATCATATACAGCACAGATGGGCCAATTAGCAGCTGACCTGGTAAGTGGAATTAGTTGGCAAGTGCTGTAGTAATTGGGCGATTGTGTAATTTCGTATATGAGCCAACTTAGCCTGATGTCTCCTTAATCGAATGAGAAGCAATGTTAGCTCTTCAGGCTGCAGGTATTTGGACACATTGTAAAGAGGAAATTAGCAGTTTTCAGGGAGAGTCACCATAGTTAGAATTCTTTACTTAACGTGCCAAGAAAATATTTATTTGACATGATTGAGCAGTTATCTTATATTTTCCTACTTTTGCTTGAATGCTGCAACTTTATGTTAGAACACAGAGAAACAAAATAGGGCCTATCCCTCTCCCTTCTATTTACAGTTCTGCTTAAGAGTCCAGTGGCAATTAAAAAAGGGCTCCATTAATGACAGGAAATTCAAAGTACTTCATTCCATAAATATGATAAGAAAAATCAATAAAATTTCTTTTGGATTCAGACATCCTTAGGAGTTCTATTAGACTCAACTAGTACACAGACAAGGAAATATATAGAAAATGCTTACCGATTTCCCATGCAAACTTGGAGCACTTACAGTATGCGTCATATATCCCATTGTAGGCATGGAACGCCTATCTATGTGTGCTGAGTTCTGTATAAATTGAAAGGCAGCATTAAAGAGACATTTCAAGAAATATTTTTCTAATCTTTAACATTTTAGAGTTCCTAGCCACTATACTCTGAACTGATTTATACAACTTTCTCCCTAAGCAAAAAAATGTTTAATTTGCTAATTAAATTACACAACACATTATTTTACAATACATGCAATATTTACTGTCTTTGTACATAAACGTTATATCATTATACAAAGTGGCATGGCCGCTGATTTGTTGCATGGTATGTCTGTTTAAAAAACTTCAGTGGAAACCTTTTGCTTGATAACAAATATTTTTGATCTAATTGATTAAATCCTGATTCAATGAGCTACATTTCCAAAAGTTTACTCCTGGACAATTTATAACTCATGGACAACTATTGAAATAAATGAGATTAAGTACAACATGCTTATAATCAGTGACAACATTTGTTTCTCATTCAGATAACTTTAATCTACTGAGCAATTAAGCCCATATTCCATTTTTCTAAACCTATAATTAGCCACATGCTGAAAAGCATGGAATTTGACCTTGATAAAAACAGTGGCAGTAGATAACTCAAAGCGGTTGACGGTACCCAATTATCAGTTAATCCGCAGATTAAGAAACACTGTAATTTAATTCCATTAATATTACCTAACTGATTAGTAAACTAGAAAAACAATTACTTCAATTTACTCACTTTTAGAGTTTGGTTTCGAATCTTCCGTGGTGAACCAACAAAAGGGTCTATTGCTTGTCTCTCATCAGATGGTTTGACAGTAACCCTTTCTGCGGGAGTGTGTGGCCTTCGTGGTATAAAAACTTTAGGTGGTCCTGGTGGAGGTATGTCAGATGGGGAAGGGGGAACAGAAACTGAACGTGGAACTTCTAATGAACTTCTTCCCTTACTACAATCTGTAAAGTCTGGAGAACTGATATAAACAGGTGCAGTTGGGCTCCCGTGTTTAAATTGCTTTCTTTGTTGCCATTCATAGAGCTGCCATACAGTACCATCTTTGTTAGCTTTTCTCTCATCATGAGACATCTTCAGGTGGCTTACCCGGTCTTGAGCATATTTGTAGTCACTTGGCAAATCACGATTTGCAGGAGGTGAGCTTCCTGAAGGCTGCCTAGTATTCTTTGGCAAAGTATGATAATTTTCAGGAAAGGATACAGAATGGCTTGGTACTTGGCGAATAAGAGTCTGGTCAGATGCAAGACTGTGTAAGAAAATTGTTTTGTTAAGGATTAAGCAAATAAACTGTTGTTATTAAGCCAAACATTTGCAGAATTGAAGGTTAGAACAGATTTTGGCAAACAGATTCTTGTAAATTTTGGAATATAGATAACAATGGGTCAAAGTGTATAATCCATGGGAAACAATATTTATCAGAAGTCACTCCATTATTTAAAAAATATAACTACCTCAAATTTGTTAAGTCTCACCACAGTTTTGTATACAATCACCAGGAACACTTGCCACTAGGTGGTGGACTATACCATTCAACAAAGCATTTTATCAACTTAAGTTGAAAAAAAGAAATTTCAGAGTTTAGCTACTCAATCAGTATGTATACACGAAATTTAAGTGAGGAGAAAGAACTCTTATGTATATATAATCATTTATTTATATTGACCTTTTCCTGGGGAAGCTATTGGTAAAATATGATGTTCATCAAAAACAAAAGAGAATAACTGAAGTTGCTGTCCAAGTGTAAACATAATTTCACTACTTGACTTCACGACAGGGTGACTGTTTATGGTTCAAGACAAAAGGAATTAAAAGGTATGACAAGTCATAAACTCATATAGTCTAATCTTTTGCACAATTAGGAGATGGTTGACTTAATATGTCCAGAAACTCTCCTGGGTTTTCTATCATGTTTTCAGAGAAAAGCTTTGACTTTATGCAAAGTCAAGGAAGGCCTTGTAAAACCTAACCACAATCAATAGTATACATAATTAAGAGTGATAAGCATGACCTCTTGCCCAAAGTGAAGTTACAGAAGAGTACAAGTAAGAATGGACAAAAATTATTGATCGCCTCAATAAAGACAAAACTACACAAAGTCTACACAAGCTATAAATTAATCAGCCCTGACCCAGAGCCAAAATGGATTGAAGAGGTAAAAGATAATAAGGTTCATCCCGTTCTCTTCTTTCAATAGTTTCTCAATCTATGATGATAAGTTAGATAGGAGATTTTAAAACTTTCACAGTTCTGGTTTTTCAACTGGACCATTAGGCACTTCTTTCTCCCACCCAATTTTACAAGACTTCATAATATGGAAATCACTGTTCTTCTTTTTAGAAGGATTTGGTGAAAAAATGAACAATTAAATGTTGTATGAATATATAACATTTGAGCATTGAGATGGACTGGATTTACACTGGTCTGCACATTCTAATTCCTAAATTCCAAGAAATATTATTCAAGAACGAAAGAGCAGAGGTCTATAACCTGAAGCTTCACATAGCCCCACAGTGCTGCCCCCAAAGTTGCTGCTCCTTGTGGTTGAAGGGAGAATTATGAGATCAGGAAAATTAACTGGGCGAGTTAAGAAAAGTACCAAACCTCTATTTTAAAATAGTGAAGCACAGAACAAACAGTCCTATCTTACTAACCTTTTTGTGTCTCCTTTCTGGAATTTTACCCAATGTTCTATGTGAGCCATGTTACTTTTCTTTTGTGTCTCCTTATTTTGTGTTGATCTGGGAATAAAGCCTCTTTTATAGAAACTGATACCATTCTGCTCTACTGGACCTGTATTTAATGAACTGGGAAGCATTCCATTCTTCTCAAGAGTCTGAGTTGCTTGAGGCCGAGAGATACTTGACGCTGGATTCAGTGTTCCACCAGGTTCTAACAGATGTTTAGGTTTCTCCCATCTGGAATCCACAGCATTCTTCCTTACAGTGTAATGTTCATCATCTCTTGCTTTTTTCATTTCTTCATGTTTGCCATATGCAGAGCTTTCGGGTGATTTTCTGTAACCTCTTTTTGCATCAGCAGGTTCTAACTTTGTAACTTCTTTGCAGGCATCAATATGATTAGCTTGAGGGACAGCTTGGTGATCTGTTTTTCCTGTTTCTCTAAGAACAGAAAAACCCACAGGCACTAAAGTCAGCACAATATTTTGATTGTTAAAATTCACTTATGTTCTGAAGAGATTTTATAATTTAATTGAACAGTTTTTTGTTTTATTGCAGAGGTTGGCAATTCTTTCTGGCCCCAGGCCTTCCAGTTCCTCCTCACCTTTCAACTCCCTCTCAAAATCTCATGTAATTGACATTCTCATCCCAAAATAGGACTTTTAAAAAATGTTTACATTTAATTTAATTTTATATAAGTTTTAGAAGTCTCCTTTGTAATGTTGCCAATCCCAGTGCACTGGCTAACAGGAATCACCATGTACAACAATATTAACACAGAGTATTAGTACGATATACAACAGCATTTGCAAACAAAACATTTCTTTGCTATAATGCCATATAATTCCCCCATAATGGGGGAAATGCCATATAAATACAGCTTCCCGAATTTATTTTACACATATTTCTTTGTGATCTACAGTCTCCCAAAGACAGAAATCTAAAAGTGTAAATTATTAAAAATATTCAGTTACTATATTCTTTAAGATCTCTTGATATTTAAGATATTTTCATGATTTTGTACTAAAAAGTGCATATTTTAATTTGCATATTTATTGTTCATTCTAGTGACTAAAACAGCTTACCCAAATTGATGCCTCCAGGCATGATAAGACTAGAATAACTAGAAAGTTACAAAATGTAACCTTTCCTCTCAATTATTAAAATCTCTCTTTTTTTTTTTCCTTTGAGTAATTTTTGACTCCTGGCGATTGCCTAAATTAGTCTCTGCAGATTTCTTGGCAAGATTTTGGAAGGAGTTTGCCATTACCTCCATCCCAGGGCTGAGAGATATTGACTGGCCCAAAGTTGCCCAACTGGCTTCATGCCCAAGGTGGGACTAGAACTCACCGTCTCCCGGTTTCTAGCCCAGTGCCTTGACTTCTAAACAGGAAAGCTGTTTTCTCCTGGCCCATGCAATTATTAATTTGACCAGGAAGGAAACTGAATAAGGTTACTCAGTGTTGTTCCATCATTACTGTCATCAAAATGGCTGCTGTTACTGCTTACCTTCTGACTGATCATCTTAAAGGCAAGGCACTTTGGAGTATTGAGGAAAAGGCAGTCAGGACTAGAGAACCTATTATCCTAACATATTGCTTGCATGGAAATTTAATAAAATGTCAAGTAAAACAAAAAGTTTTTAAGATCCACTTAAAAATAATTCCTAAAGTGACCATCCCTACTTCCTTAGGGAGAAAATTATTTAAATAATTGCCACAAAATCTGCCATTTTAAGGACTGGGAGGATTAGCCTGAATAAACATACATCTACAGATTATCTATTTTTATACTTTATTTTAGCAAAAGGAGAATGTTTAGGCAATCAAAGAGGAATTAAAATGTGAATATACAGAGAACTTATTTTCCATCCAGTAAATAAAAAGTTCTTATTTTTCTGAAGTTACCTATCTATGATCCTGTGAAGGTTTCAGATAAAGGGGTTTTAAGTAGTAAGAAAAACTGAGATAATTCCTCTCCCTGCAGTATTTTCTTTTGCCAGATGAACATGCTTCTTACTAATTCACAGGACCTAGAATCCAGCAGTCTCTGGCATTCACATGGTTAGCATAAAGATAACATAGTATCTGAACTACAACAACTTAAAGCAGTGTTGTCCAGACTTGGCCACTTTAAGATGAGTGGACATCAACTCCCAGAATTCCCTAGCCAGCATGGCTGGCTGGGGAATTCTGGGAGTTGAAGTCCA